GAGGCGGGTGGAGCAAGGAAAACATGTATCACGTGTACTTACAATCTTACGTGGGGATTTTGAGTACATTTGAAAAGAAACGTACTGGCTGACGTGCAGAACCGCATCATATAGTGCGAGCTGCGGACGCAGCCTGGTAGACTAGTAAGAAGACGAAAGCAGGCTTATGTGCATATGTGCACCTCTGCAACATCTGACTAGGAACGTCCTCTGTGTACCATCTCCTGGAACCCTCACAGCCAACCTGCAAGGTACAGACTATCCTCTCGAGGGTCCTCACAACAGCCAAAAACACCCTGTCAGGCCTACCCGTAAGGCCGTCAGGAGTAAGGAGGGGACAGGTGTGATAGGGATTCATGACGGTTTCCTACTGTTGTCCCTTACTGGGGGTCCTTCCCCTCCCACCAGTCTACCAGTCTCTAAGTGGCTATCTTTACTGCCTCCAGTGCAAAGTTAAGTATTCAAGAAATGTCTACAGAATAAATGAATGACCCTGAGACAAATGGCAAATATTCTTCATAGATGAGAAGGTCAACTGTGCCCTGTGGCCAGCAGGACTGCTCTTCACACGAGCTGAGAAAATTTCATTTACCTTTAAATGCCATTTACACGTTATTCACTCAGCAGTCATTCAACAAACACGTACTACTACATGCCAGGCCGTCACAGTCACAACCTGTTGTAATGTAGTTGTTGTAATGGTGCCCTCTTCTTGCTTCTTCCCCCTCCTGTCTGACAACCCGACTCTCCCCACTCACTGGCTTTGGTTTCTGGCCCCCAAACTGGCCTCTGAGGAACTAAAACCTCTTCTTTCTCATTTCCTCCCACCCCCTCGCCATGAAAAGTTTTTGGACCCCAGGTTAAAATCTTACAAGACTTTTTGTTTTTTGTGTTTTAAAAAGAGGGGTACCTAAGGGTGTGACCTGACTGGTTTGGAGATGTGACTCCATGCCAGTCAGCCCCAAAGGAATTAGGGAAAAGGCCAAGCCCTTATGTGAGCCAAGACATGGGTTTAGAACAGGCCCTTTAATGATCCCAGAGACTATATGGAACTCAGAAGCCTGGCTTTTGGCTCATTCCTTATATTTTCCCAAATGAGATCTTTGGAGACCTGCTCTACAAACTCAGCTCTGTCACCACTGTCAATAGATACATCACCAGAAATGCAACTGGGCCAGACGGGTCCAGCTCTTAAACGATCGCTGCTTTTTTGGGTCTGAGGCAAAAGAATCCATTAACAATGCCTCCCCCTGACCAGCATCCCCCATCCAGTGCAAATGATGCCCATACTCCCCAACCCCTAATCCTCAAGCCCAGGGAGGCTGTCCCCTCAGCACCTGTGGCTCACAGTCCTCCGTCTCTTAGGGCACGAGAGGAGACGAAGCGGACAGTCTCTGGCTGGGCGTGCATGGGGAAGTAAAATCCAGGCTAACTTTCCAAAGGGCACAGCGGCTGCCAGAACACAACAGCTATTTAGGTTCAAAGATGGAAACTCAGGCTGACGATGAGGCAGTCTGTCAAAGTGCTTCCTCTGGTCAGACATGTACACACATACATCAGGCTTTCTTCACAAGCGTCCTTGAGATTTCCCCTCCTTTGCATTTCTTTGTCCCTCGAGAACAAGATGGTAAGAGACACGCTTTGAATCCAGTCCTCCATTAAACCCCGTCTGTCCTTTGGGGTGAAGAGATGTGAAGGGTGTGGAGGTGTCTCTTGCTGAAGGGTGAGGTGGCAAGAGAGCGATTGCTGAGCCCTCCTTTCCAGCCAGAAGCCAGCTCGGGCCGGTCCCCTACCCAAGCCCTGCACCTTTGGGGCACATACCTGTGGAGCGCTGGTGGCAAGTGTCTGGATCTGTCCCTGCACGACTTGGGTGCCTGATACAGGCTGGGCTAAGCGAATGTACTGCAGCTGGCCGGCATTCAGCTGCACCTAGGGTGGGGCAGACAGACAGACGCAGGGGACTGAGTGTGGCCTCACCAGGCAAGCTTCCCCTGCGGTGACCGTCCCCTGCCCCCCAAGCTCTCCAAAGAAGCTGACTCTGAAAAGCTCCTCTTCAACAGAGGTCAATACAGGCAAAACCAGAACATCCCCACCCCACAAGTCACAAAACACAACAGAGGATATGTTCCCTGAATGGACCGTGGAGAAAATTCCCAGAGGATCTGGCCACATATGTGACGAACAGCATGGCTGCACCCTCAACATTCACGGACTCTTAGCTGTTTGCTTAGTTTATCTTAGGATTTATCCCAAAGACTGTGAGACATGATCGGAATGCTCTGTCCCTAAAGTGTGGGCCTTTCCCCCCTCTACCTCCACACCCCGCCACCCTATTTCCCGGGATGGCTGATCCAATACTCACAAGAGCTCCAGCATCTGCCAGGAGCCCACGGCAGATGGCCGTCACTCCGTGCCCTAGCCCCAGTCCTGCCCAACCCCATGCTGCACATCTCGGAAGAAAAAGCTGGCCTGCTTCACTATCTCTGTCCCCAAGAGCCAGGACCAATGGGGGTCTGTGGGACTTTTAGGATCTTTGGTGTTCAGCACTAGCTTCTAGCCAAACTCCTCCCAAGGGGAAATTGAATCAATAAACCTTTCAGAGAAAACCCCATCACGGGAAACCAAAGCTACAAAAAGGCCTTTAGAGTCCCTCATGCTTAAGATTAAGTCTCAGATAATACAATAATACCACATGCTGCATTTAATTGTGCGCTAAAAGCCTTAACTCAGGCTCTTAACGCTCCAGTGTACCATGGAAGTCTCTGTGCCTCGAGCGGGAACGGAGAGACCAAGGCGGCTGCACTGAGAAGAGCCATGGCTCAGCAGAAGAGAGTCAGCAGAGCACTGCAGACATCCACACTCGGGATCTGGGCGATGAAAGAGGTACCAGGAGGACAGACTGGTCTCTATCTGAGGGCCCAGACACCACCCTCCCTGGCTGCCCAGCCTGCCTTTGTTGCAAGGGTGAACTTCTTGACGTGAACAGGTAAGTCATGCCTCCTTGTCCCGGAGTGAGTTCTCCCCTTGCCTTCAAGAGCCAGCTCCCTGGCAGGGAACTTTACCTCCATGAGGACAGTGCTGGTAAATGCAACTGCCCGTGTGCATGCAGTCACACTGCTTCTCTGCAACTGCGGTCTCAAAGGGGATGTGACCCGTCAAGAAAAGACTAACACTTGGTAGTCAGTGTAGACCTTGGAAGTTCTTGGCAGACCATTCCAGAATTGTCCACTTAGGAAAACGGAGGGATAGAAAATCTAAACCCGTTAAGAACCGGGTTCACAGGAGACAGGGCAAGATATTGCGACCTGCGGTCTTTTCTTTCCAAGAACACGTCAAGAAGAGCTGCTGGGAAGTTGTGATGCCAGGCCCAGACCGCCCCCCTTAAATCCTGTAATGTGGCTTCCAGGCAACAACACTAAGTTGCTTGCGGGACTAAAGGCAGCTGTGTGGAGGCTCAGGAAGCCTCACCTGCCGACACTGATGGTGACTGGTCCCAGGAGTCCCCGAACTCCAGACCAGGAACCAGGATGAAAGACTAAAGCCTTGTCTCAAGAACAGGGAAAGTATACTGACAGCCACAGAGATTTTACACCTCTCAGCTGGGAAGAGCTCTTTGCAGAAACAGATGTGACTGAAAAATTGTGAGCCAGAGAGTTTCCAAGCAGTTCTTAGAAGCAAGAAGCTCCTCTTTTAGGCTTAGGTTTAGACGTCTAATGATGCTCTGCCCTCAGTGCTCTACCACAAGGACAGGTCTGGGGCGCCTGGCAGCTTTTTGACGTTAACTACAGGATAAATAAGCCAGCTCCTTAGGCTTTCAAAAGAGAAGCAAAGTTTCCTTCCTGAAGGTCCCCTCTATTGGGGCGAGCACTCTTGTGTTCAGAAATGCAGACTCCTACAGAAGGTATCTGAAAATAATGAATTTGCAACAAATATGTGCTAAAGCTCTGTACCCCAGAGGGTTAAAAAGACTTGAGTTAAAGTTACTGTAAAGTGGGAACTCTTCTCTGCTTAAGTAAATTTGTTCTGGTGCCTTCACGTGTAAAACAGAGGACCATTCAAGAGAGAGGTCTTGGTTAGTGCCTGACACAATGAGGCAAGGCACCTGAAACTGATGGGTCTATATGTGGGGGGGTGGTGGAGGGGGAGGGAGAGAGGGAGGGGGGAGGGAGGGAGGGAGGGAGAAGGAGCAAGCTCTAGCAGAGGGAGAGTGCGCCAAAAGCGCAAGAAAGGGAGGGAGGGAGAGGAGACAGAAAGACAGGCACAGAGACTCACACACTCCACTTTCCTAAGCTTTCTCTTGGTCTATCTGCTAACTTAGTAAGAACAGTTACAAAAACAGAGCTTTCTGCAAAGAGGAAGTGATTAGCCAAGTCCAAATGACTTTCTATATCTGCCTCCGTGTCATTTACAACAGGCAGACCAAGGGGCAGAAACAGAAGGACTGCTCCGTGTCACTCACTTTCCACGTTTTCGGGTGGCAAAATGACCAGTGTATAGGTGGCAAGTGTTAAGATAGGACATTTCTTACAAAAGAGCAAATACAAGTAAAAAAGCCAACAAATCTAAGAAATGAAATCCCTCAAGGCACACAGGAAGCAGCAGTCCACAGTGAAGGAATGGGTAAGTTAAATGAAAGCCAAAAATACACTTTGCTGCAGGCTCCACTGGGAACTGACTCATGAATATGCAACAAGTGTTATTTATGGCCTTCCCCGTACACCTCCCTCTTATTCTCTGCTAATCAAAAGACAGGACTGCCTCCCAGGGCCGTCAGGTCCTGGCATGGAACAGTGGTTACCAGCATCCTCTGCGTAGGTGGAGTGCGGGGACGTGGAGAGGCGCTGCCCCACGGTGGCAAACCTGAAGTGGATTAGAGGAAAGCAGGCAGTACACAGGGAAGCAAGTTGCGGTCTGGGTGAACAGGGACATAGGTTTAAAAAAACACGTGGACATCTACACACATGGGTATACGAGATCCTCTGTGTGTAAGATCTGGAAGCACTCCCGCCCCCACACGAGCACAGCGCCTTGCGGCTGCAAGGCAGAACGGGCCTTACCGGGATCTGCTGGATCTCTCCTGTGTTTGTGATGATCTGCTGCATCACCTGCATGGTCTGTCCGGTGCTGCTCTGGGCCTGCTGGGCTTGACCCTGCGGCTGGGCCTGGACAATCTGCACCTGCTGACCTTCTCCAACCTGCATGGTCACAGGTGTGGTCTAGAGAGGAGTTATGAGAAAAGAGGATTCAGCTCGAGATTAGAGCCACTGCGCTTACCAAGGGGTTAATAACGACCAATTAACTGGGAGCAAACCCCCTCCATGGACACCCAAACTCACCTTAACACTATTTAGCAATACTCAGCGTACAGGGCACTGCTAAAGTTACTCTCCAAGACAAAAGATGGGAGAAAGCCACGTAGATGTTTAGGCTCATGGTACAGAATATTTGCCCAAGCCCCAAACACCTCTATGCTTCAAATACTGCAATCTTTCAGAGCTCTTGCAACGAAAGAAAGGCACATCCAATACAAAAGAATCAAAAGCAACCGTGACAGTTCATTTGAGAAATGGCCAAAGTCAGGTCTGGAGCAGGTGAATTTGGAGAGCAAACTGAATGGAAAGCGGGGTCAGTACGAATTTACTAGGTTCAGGATCCTGGACTCCATTCCAGGCATGCAAGACACTGGGAGGAAACTAAGGCGCACGCTGGCTGCACTCAAGCAGCAGAGCAGCGCCAGCCCACACCGGCCAGCTGGCTGCTCTGGATCCAGCACGGCTTCCCACGGGAGAGGCAAACGCCACTAAGATGTGGATGTTAACTGAGGCCACCCCTAAGTAACAGAATTTAATAAAGCGAGGATTTTATCTTTCCAGAAACAAGAATCTCAGATGTAAGAAAATTCTGTCTACCACACACGACCTGGCAGGTTCCGTGTCTCTCACACAAACTTAGTGGGTTGTAGTCCTATGAAACTTACTCCTTTGAGAGACGGTAGACGTGAACTGCCAAAAGGGTTGGTCGGTCACTTGTTCAAAATTTTAAAACTTTAGCCCCAGATGTGACCTTGGCAGATTACCTAGAGCAGTGGGCCCAGCACACGGTTCATGTGGTGGGGGTGGGTGGTAGTGGCACATGGCAATGGAGGGGTCGGGGGGGGGGGGGGGGGGGGGGGGGGGGGGGGGGGTGGTCATGGGAGTGGCAGGAGGGTGGAATCTTTTAAACTACTCTCAAACCCCCAATGCCCCAATTTGGGTATGGTCCCGTCCCACTCTGAATTAAGAATTACCTCAGTAAGACGACTCTGGGAATCTCAGTGAATCTGGGCTTCTACTGATGTTGTTATTCTGATGCTCTCAGACTTTGCCTGCATACGTGTACTATGCATCTAGTTACAGGAGAAGGGGATGTGTCCCAGGAACTACAGAGGAGATGCAGGGGATCACTAAGGAAGGAGAAATTACTATGAACTGGACACAGCGGGTAAAGAGGACAGAGGGATCTCTGTAAAAATACATGCGGTAGGCCAGGACAACAGGAAACACCTCCTGTTCTCTCACACCACGATTTTCAACTCAGCCTATTCTATTCCAACCTCCAGGAATAGAAGTTTCCAATTTTATGACAGAACGCACAGGATTCACTTTACCAAAAGATGCTTTCCTTCCAACTTTAATATGTGTTCTGTCCCGCAAAGGTTATCTGAACTCAACGTGAAATAATCATTACTACAGGCCTAAGCAGGGGTGATACAGCACAAGGCCACCCTGAACCAGCAGGACAGAGAACCACAGCTAGAAGACACAGAGAGAGGCCAACTTCCCCATCCCCACAAGCCTCACCAGCTCCAAGCTGAGAAGTCTGGGGTGGCAAAGAGAATAGATGAAATTCTTGCTGACTAAAAAAAATGTATACTGCCAACTCATCACTGTACTTTACCAACTCAATTTCCCCAAGAGGATTTCCATGGTATTTCTGAGTCATTTCAGGAAAATGAAGGCTTGTGCTAGTTGGCAGCTGTCAAATCACGTATGGCGTGTGCCCTGCTGTCAGGACACAACAACCACGAGCTTCTTAGATGTTGAGTCGATGAGAGCCAGCGCTTCGTAGACTCCCTCAAAGTTTGCTCTGTGGAGGGATAAAGCTCTCACCACTGCAGAGGCACAAGCCTTGGCCAAAGAAGATCCCTTAGGCATCATGGTACAGTGAACGCCTTGAAGCAGGGACTAGGCTGTGATCATCTTTGAACCCCTCCTGCCCGGCACAGTGTCTGGCAAAGAGCGAGCACCCTAAAACTTGTTATACGGATAAAAAAGGGAGCAGGATAAATCCTAAAATCATAATTAATAGTTAAATCTACCTCCGTCATCGTTTTTTCCTTCTAGGCAAACCCAGATCCTTACCGGCATACACAAGACTATCTAGCACGTGTCCTCTGCCTCTATTTTCAGACTTGCCTAGATGTCCCCATGCTGACTGCACCCTCCCGCCACTCCCGGTGCGGTTCCCACCTCCAAGCCTTTGCTTGTGCTGTGCTACTGGGAAAGCCCTCCTTGTCCTCTTTATCTGATTCATTGCCACTGTTCTCCCTCTAAAAGTTGGATTATTCCCTTTCAGGAACCTTCTCTGGCATCCACTTCTACCACCTCTCTCACATTTTTGTTAGGTATCCCTTTTGATGTGATCCCTTAACACCCTTTACACAGCCCTAAGAATATTTCTACACTTCTCAGGTGGTGGTGGTATAACCTTTATGTAATTGTACCCTACTAGTTTGTGGAAATTTTTTTTTTTAATGTTTATTTGTTTATTTACTTATTTATTTATTGAGAGAGAGAGAGACAGACAGACAGACAGACAGCACCAGTGGGAGTGAGTGCATGAGCAGGGGAGGGGCAGAGAAAGAGAAGGAGAGAGAGAATTCCAAGCAGGCTCCACACTGTCAGCAAGAGGCCGGTGTGGGGTTCGATCCCACTAACTGTAAGAGATCATGACCTGAGTGAAATCAACAGTCATGACGCTTAACCAACTGAGCCACCCAGGCACTCCGATTGTGAAAATTCTTAAAAATAGGGACTGTTTTATTCATGCTTATATTCCAGGCACATAGGATAGGACTCAATCTTTGGTGAATAAATTAATGCTTGTCGGGGAATCTGGAGTCAGAGCTCAGAGAACAGAGTTCTTCACAGCCTCCCGCGATCCCCAACAAGCATGGATGTTACTGCTTTCACAACAATCCACTGGGGGGAGGGAATATTCTGGTTGCTACTGTAAAAAGATCACTTGACACAACTATGGTGTGACAGAAAAATGACAGGGAGAAGAGGTGGGGAAGTACGCAAACTGGAAATGATGCCTGATCTCTTCCTTAGAGGTACAACAAATCCTAGTTCCGGTGTAGACACAGGCATGGGGTCCACTTGTAATACCTCCCATGGGGATGTTACTATTCTTTCATGGGGGCATGATATAGACTTTTTTCCTTCCAAAGTGTTTTAGCTCATAGGGATCCTGGAGAGCATCTTCTCACTGCATCTCCTCATGTGACCCGTGAGGAAACCAGGACCCAGAGAGGTCAGGGTGACATGTCACTATGGTGGCTGAATCTGGGGAGAAGCCCAAGTTTCTAGACTTCAAACTTGGTGTCGTAAAACGACCGGCCTGCTCCTCTGGCCCGGCCGTGCTCTCCCCAACCTAAGTGGTGCCGTGTTGCCGGTGGGCACCCTCTGCAGCTCACAGACCTGGCCCTGCTGAGGCTGCGCGATGATGATCTGCCCAGGCTGGATGGTGGTCGTGGAGCTGGTGGTCTGCTGGCCCTGCTGCTGCCCCTGGACTTGCACGGCAGCGGGCTGCTGAGCCAGTGTGAAGTAGTACTGGACGGGCTCGGCGGGAGTCACGGACTGGCGCACCTCCTCCTGTGGGGTAGAAGGAGCAGCAGGTAAGAGGAAAAGAACTGACTCAGCAGCCGCCACAGTGAATTTCCATTCTTCCCCCAAACGGACTCTGTGCAGTTGCCTGCTGAATGCTGAGCTCTCCACATTTGAAGCCAAGGGAAAGTGGAATTCGAAGAGACCAGTTGTGCTAAATCAAACTAAAAATAACAGATTCCATAGGCTTCACAAAACATACAGCCAATTTTCTGAAGTACAGAGTAATCACCCATTGCGTGATGAGTTGCAAATGGGCAAATAATTACCGTAACTAAAAACCACGCACCAGCAGTGCCTGTCAGTAAACGCCGTCAAGGCCTGTGATCTGCAAACGGTGCTAATTGCGAGCACTGGGAAGATGCTACCCAAACATCAGGCTCTCATCTCAGGCCAGCCCCCAATCTCCCCAGTAGGCAGCACTCTCCTTATTTGGTTCCTGCCAGCTCTGGAGGGACAGAGCAGGGAAAAGGGAAACAGGGCTTTCCCTGGGCTGGAACTTCAGAATTGAGTGTCAGGATTGAGAGCACTGGTAGGTAAGCGCCTAGCTTTTCACAGCACATCAAGAGCTCCGTGGTCACTGAAGGCACATCTGTCCAGCGTCAGGTCTGGTTCTGGTTGTACTTAGCCACGGAAGCGCAACCCAGGGGGCCTGAGGGACAGCTCTCCGCTGGGGGGCAGCCTTGGCTGACTAGGGAGGTCGCATTCTGTCCAATCTGCGGGATGAAGAGACTGTTCCTTCTTCAGCTGACGTTTTCCATGGCAGAAGGAGTAAACAACCCTCTCCCAGCCACCTTGAGCTCACAGCTGAGAGTGTAGGATGTTTACACACACTACGACATGGTTAGAGCCTGAGGGTCCGGGGTTGACCGGTCCCTGACCACTGACACAGAGATCGGCGTCTGCTCCGGAGGGCCCTGCGACACACGGTGCCCCTGCCTGGGACAACAAAAACAACAGAAACATACAACCACTTGGGTTGACTGAGCAGAAAATTTGCTTCATTTACCCAATTCCTTGTTCTGGGCTAAGTATGCCAGGCTCAAGAAGAGAGGAAAAGGCACTTCTTCAAGGTATAGAGGCACTGTGGGCTGCCTCAAAGTTCCCCAAAATGACAATGACACAGCCGGTATTGACCCCATACCCTCACTATGTTAGGTGCCCCAATCTATGTTGTGCAGTCCTTTCCTCACTACACTTTGTTTTGCTTGCTTGTCAAGTGCCCTCCCTGCTTGAGTGGAAGCCCTATGAGGGCTTAACTCTTGCTCTCCACTGTTCCAGCCATTCATTCCCTTGTAGGTACTTAGTAAGAGGTTACTGAATGATGGATGGATTTATAGAGCCAGGCAGACAGCTGCAGATAGGAAAGTGCTTTTTTTTTTTTTTTTTTTTTTTTTTTTTTTTTTTTAAGCTCTATACCCAGAATGGGGCTTAAACTCACGACCCCAATATCAAGAGTCACATGCTTTATTGACTGAGCCAGCCAGGCACCCGGGAAAGTGCTTTTTCGCTTAAGTTGGTGTATGACAGTCTCTTGAACCCAACAGCTATTACCAACAGAAAAGAGGAGCTACACTCTCTTTTGTTACCTCTAGGATTTTGTGGTCATGGTGTGGGGAGCTCATGTCCCCTACAGAACAGGGCTGGCCTGGTGACTGGGGGCCCAGGATACTAGTACTGTTGACATCCAGGCTTTGAGAAACTGGGGTCTTGGCATGACAAGATTCCCTAACGGCCACCCACCCAGCCTCAGCAGACACTTTTAACATTCTGGATTTCTAAGCTAGTTCTCAAACAAGAATGAATTTTCTAGGTTAATGCAGTCTGTGCTTTAGACCCAAACAATCTGAACCCTGACCATAACCATGCTGAGGCAGAAGAAAAAGGAGGTCCCCTTTATTTTCATTGAGGTCTCAGTTTCCAGAACAATGTAACTGTGACATCATCATCATCTCCATTTCAACTCAACTTTTCACCATTATAAATAAAGGCCAGCCTGTCAATTAGCTCTTGGCTGTGGCAGGGATAAATACAGATACCCTCCCTTAACCAAGAAACAAAGGCCAACAGCTCTTTTCAAAGCTCTTGAAATAGGCTGAACGTATTTATTTTCCACTGAGAATGCCCTTCTCATTTTATAAAAAAAACATCCATCACTGTAGTCTAGACCTAACTTACAAAAGCTCTTGGGTAATGAGAGGGTGTAGAGAACCAAGAACCCCCCACCCCCCACCGCCACAACCAACCTGAAGGAAGTCAGGGAGGAGGGAGAAACTGGTGCCTCCCAGCCCTGACCTGTGATTGTTCTGTCTCCAGTTATCTCTGACTGCAACTGGTCTACAAGTGAATATAGTCTTTTTGCCAGACAAAAAGCAAACCCTTTAAGCCTTTAACCCTTTCAAAAGCCAAAATACTCCTTGCCAAAAACTGTGACAGCAGGTAAAAAGCTTCTCCTAAACTGCCCATCACTCCCCCCTTAAGTTGTTTATGAACTAGGCAGTGTCTAGGTCACTCTGAGAGTACCAAGTAGAGGCGCCTAGGTTTGTGTTGTGAGGACCAGGCGAGATTGTTCTCGAATCACTGGAATGGAAGGAGGCACATCTAAGGTTCTTCTGCATTATGAAGACTCATCCGGCCAATGGAGGGCAAGCTAGCAAGGGAATGATTATGCTTGGTTTAAAGAAATGGGTGAAGAGAAAATGACATTTCAATGGGCAGGAACTTTCAACTCATAGCTTTAGTGGAGTAGAAGTCAGCCTCAACTCTTCTCTGCTTCTAAATAGCCTTTACTGGCTTCCCCAAAGAACAAGAGAAATTTCCAAGCATTTCTTGAGACGTCAAGGACCTTAGATCTACAATTCAGTATTTCTGGCTAGTTTCTCTCCCCAGCAGTGGGAAATCACCCCCTGCGCTAGGACAATCTCTGAATGACTGGATCAATCCAGAATGGGGCACTTGCCCAGCTTTCGCAGTGGCCTCCCTGACCAGAGGGCTTACGCTTGGGATCTTTTCAGAAGTGGTGACTGACAAATGTCAGAGAATGAGCAGCATCCCAGGGCCATCACTACAGAGCTGTGCAGCCAGCCCCAAACTGAAAAAAGTACATTTGCTTCAGTAGCCAGAAATGAACTGCTGCCTCCTTCAGAAAGGGTGAGTTTTGGAGAGTAGGCGCTTTTAAAGGACTTAAGGAGGTGCCAGCCAATTTGGAGCTTGGGAAAACTTTGAGTCTACAGAGGATTAAAAGTGCTATCTTAGAATTTCAGGCCAGCTTTCAGCAATCTCAACCTTTCAAAGGCCAGGCAGCAGCTGTCCCCAACAGGACGCCAATCAATGGCTTGAACACCTACAAAGACCTGAATCCAGGCAGCAAGGAGCTGTTTCAGCTAGACATACTTTAAAAGGAGATGGATCACAGCATTGTGAGCCGGGCTAGGATGGAACAAGGAACTGTCTGACACCCTGAGTCAGTCAGGCACTGAGGGCTTGAGGAAGGGACAGGACACGACCCTTCCCTGCAGCCAGCTGGTTCAGCAGACGGCCCATAGAGAACAAGCAGGAGTTAGCACAAGGCCTGACTTTGTCACAGAGCTCAACACCTTGTTTTTAAAGGGGGCTTCTGGAACAAATTCCAACAAGGAGAGCAGGGGTATGGTAGCATTTGTTTTGGGGGAAGAGAAGTAGTCGGAGTTCTTGTTGTAGTGACTTCTCAGAGAGGAGGGAAACACCCCAAGAGGAGGAACTGAGCCTGTGGGCACAAACCTGCAATTATCTCAAAGGCGACGCGCAGCGGGGGGACGACCGTGGCAGCCTGCCGCTGTAAACATCCGACTGAAAGCTCCTCTGAACACCTTACAGCTTCCAGTCAAGGATGTTTACAGTAGCAAAGACTGCCCAGAAAGAACGGAGCCGCAGTGAGGCACCTGCTCTAGTAAGGAGGGGATAGAGGATTTGCTGATCCAAAGGCCTCCAGGCAGGGTCAGGATTACAGGTGTCCTTTAAGATGCCCACTTCTATACTTCCTGACTGATTATTAGTATGAGACAGTATAGGACAATGGTTGTCACTGAATGACTCTGTTCTAAGGATAATATATTATGAAATAATTCATTCAAAACACTTAAAATTTTATTAACAAAATAAAGCGAGGAGAACAAGGCACGGCTTTATTCCTGTTAGACCCTGCCACTATTCCCCAAGTGTCTCTACCACACCGACTGAGTCATGCAATCCGTGTGCCTCAAACAATGAGCTCTACAGGAAAGGGGTCTATTACAACTGCAGTTAAGAGCTTTATGCACCCAAGGTGCTGAAAAGACAATCAGTGTGGCCTTTGGAGAGGGGCAGGCAGAAGAGAGGGAAAGACAGATATTCACATTCTTTCTCATGACTGCTCAGAAAACGGTTTAAGTGGTGGTTCTCAAACTTGGGTGCACATTAGGCACATCTGAAAAGCTCGACAAAGCACTGATGCCTGGGCCTCCCCGTCAGATTCTGACTCAGCTGGTGTGGGGTGGGGCCCGGACACTAGTATTTTTTTAAACCCTAACAGGTGATCTAATGGATAGCCAGAGCACTATATAGAGAAACGCAAACCAGAGTAAGAGAAAACCAAAGTCCATTCAAATACCACTGGGCACACAGAGAAGCTGTTTCTTTGTATCTGGAAAATCTAAAATCTGTGCCTTGCTGGGCATGTTCTCCCATCCCAGATTAAGAATTCTGAGAAATTCCCTAGGGTACCTTGAAATGAGCTTCACTTTCCTGTTTGTAACTTGTCTTTAACTTTCATTTTGTCTACTCTCACTGAAAGACCACCTCAGAGGCACTGAGTTAAAAGTATCCATAAATGAGTAACAGAGGGAGATGTTAAGGATGGATCTGGTCTAGAGAAAGAAAAGCAAAAGGAACAGCAAATGACTTGAGAGAGGAAAAGGAGCATATCTGACACCAGCACGCAAGGTGCTCTTTGGTCAGAAGCAGCAGCAATGCCTTCCCGGCTCACCTGACGCTTTGGAGGTTTCAGTTCATCTCTTGGAACAATATCGATGAGAAAGTCAAACTGATCAAATTTTGTAATTGCCATGGCGATATCATTCCTCTGTAACAAAGAAAAGCAGGGTGAAAAATTAGCCTGGGGAGAAACTAGTTCACCTGGCTTTACACCCTCCACGTTACAAGTAAGATAAGATGATGACTTCTAAGCCAAACTCAACAACCACAGCCAAGGCTACAGCTAAAGCAAGCACAGCCAAACTCATACACTTCACATCAGACTTCACGGAAGATCTACATGTAGCTCATGCTCTACAAGCTAGGGATTTGAGCCTCCAACTACAACTATCACCTCTGCTGGATCCTACACCAGGCCTGCCCCACAATTGTTAAATTATCATCCTCCAGCTAAATTTGTACAAACCTAGCAATCTCAACTGGCAGGTTTCAAGGTTAGGCTACTATTCAATCTTATAATCTTTCTGAATCTCTATTGAAATCCTAATAACTTTTTACAATTATTTTCTAGTCACTGGATCTATATGTTAGTTCCCACAAGGCTATGATTTTTATTTTGGAATTCAAAGTCACAATGTTAAATCCGTGGTTTATATCTTGTTTAATGTGATATGAATAAGGGGAAGTCTGAAGTTACTAGAATTGACTAATGATACCAAAACCAAGGCTTGTTCCAATGGAATTCTAAGAGTGATACCCCCTTTCTTTAAATAATTTTTAAAATTTTGTAATTAAAAACTAACACATGATCCTTAAGATCTGTATACTTCATTGCATGAAAATTTTAAAGCAAAAAAAAAAACCAGGAAAAAGTAGTGAACTCTAGTGAGTGATATACATATTGAAGTCTTGAGGGGAAAGTAAACTTTGAAATGCACTTAAAAACAGATGACTTGATGGACAGAGGGACAGACAGATACGGGGATAAAGCAAGTAAACTTAACGGTAGGATCTAAGAGGTAAGTATACTGTAAACTTTGCTTATGTTTGAATGTTTTTGTAATAAAATGTTGGGGGTAAGTGAACATGGTAACAGAAATTCCTAGCAATCTCTCTATATATCACATCTTAAGAGAGGTGACTCACCAGACAAAACAAAAGGGGATGGAAATTTTGTTTTTTCCTTCCCTTGTCTCTGTGATGGCCCCAAGCCACTGAAATGCAAAACTCCAATCCACCCTTCTTGCCAACCACCAGCTTGACAATAACCCTCCAACAGAAGCGGGGTGCATCTTAAGGCCGCCAGGTCTCATTTAAGATCGGTACGATACAGTATCACATTCCTGATGATGTCACCTACTCAAAGCTATCTAAACAGCTCATCTATGGATGGAATTGGGGGAACAGTGGGGGTGGGGAACAAAAGAACACCTCCAAACATACACCAAAGTGTGCTACAGTATTTTGGAAACACAAATATACTTAGAGTTGGTCTTTTTTTTATTTTGGCTTTGTTAAAGCCAGTAGTATTTTACTGAATACTCATATTCAGTAAAATACAGAAGTCTTGAGGACACAGCTTGATGAATTTTAATAAATATACGTACCCACACAGCTATCAACCAGATAAGATTATAAAAAGTGTCCTTCTATCCCTTTCCAATCAACTGCCCTCCCCCCTGAATCTGAGGCAAGCACTACTCTGGTTTCTATCACCACAGATGGTGAGAGTATATGGAATCATGTGTTATATAATTTTCCCCCCTCTGGTTTCTTTTGCTTAACATAATAATTTTTTCAGATTTCACCCACATTGTATGGAACAACAGTTTTTTGTTATTGTTGAGTAGTAATCCACTTTATGATTATAACCTTTTGTTTCTATATCCCCATCTTGATGGATATTTGAGTTGTCTCCAGTTTTTGGCCATCATCAGTAAGCTTGTTATGAACATTCTTACACAATAACATCCACACTTCAGGGTGTATACGCAGGAGTAGAACGGCTGTGTCACACAGTGGGGATACGTTTAAGTTTATTGGAAAGTGCCAGTTTCCCGAAGCAACTGGACCACTTCACATCCTGACCAGCAGTAAGCACTATACGAGTTTCACTCACTCCACTCTCTCACCAACACTTGGTATTGTCAGTCCTTTTTGTTTTAGCCATTCTAGTGGATGTAAACCAGTGTCTTGTTCTAATTTCTAGTTCCCAGGTGACAATGATGCCGCACACCTTTTCATAACTTTATTGGTCATTTGGGTATCTTTTTTGAAACACTGTCCAAGTGTCTTGCTCATTTTTTAATCTGGACTCATCTTGAAGATAGCTTTAACTGGATCTCTCTAGAGTCATAGGCTTCCTTCACAGCCGCATAAAGTAAGTTCTCAATGTCTAGCTGCATTAGAATGTAGGCTTCCCAAGGGTGTGGGGGTTCTTTCTGTTTTGTGTGAACACTGCTTGGCATATTGTAGGTGTTCAATAAATACTTGCAGAATAAATAAGCACGCATCTTCAATTTGGAGGTAAAGGGAAATTCACACACAATGTGAATGTTGATTTTTAAAATAAAAGGAAAATGAGAAAGAAAAGGAAAGGGTTCCCAGGAAGGCAGACAAGGAACAAAAAGGCAAATGAGGTAAGTGAGATGGATTCTTCCTGGGACTGCCCTCTCCCGGAGTCTCACAAGGCTTCCAACCAGAAGTTGTTTACATCTGGAAATAAATCAAACACTTGAGCCTCTGTCTATAGTCAAAGCTCACCAAGTGAAGAGTTCAGTCACTGAGCTGTGAAAAACGTGAGAATTGGCAATTAAGATTCTTGGTGGGGAAATACAATCATGGCTATAGAGTATGCCTGCCTCACAACAGTGGGAGGAAGATGCCAATTACACACATCAGCTTGACAGAAACCTAAGGAAGAACAATCTTTGGTCCAAAACGATGCAAGAAAAGCAGACAAAGGCCAAGGGCAGTTGCCTGCCCCCTTTCCCCATGTACGTCTACAACATTACCTGTAGAGTCCGGCGCTTGTTATCCTCCGTGTGGATCCAGGCTCGAAGAGTCAACTCTGTGATAAAAATCTGGGCTGCCTTGGCAAAGAGCACAGGGGCTTCTGCACTGATCATCTGCAACAGATGTAGGCCCTCCCTGTCAATCACCAGCATGTCATTCAAACCAGCCCACTTGTCCCTTGCCTCACGTCCTGCCATCGACGATGGGGTAAAGGCTGGAAAATGAGAAGGTGGCAGTCCCAAGAGATTCCAAGGTAAAGGAAATCCTTAAGAATCGGGCAAAGCAGGGGCGCCTGGGTGGCGCAGTTGGTTGAGCGGCCAACTTCAGCCAGGTCACGATCTCGCGGTCCGCGAGTTCGAGCCCCGCGTCGGGCTCTGGCCTGATGGCTCAGAGCCTGGAGCCTGTTTCCGATTCTGTGTCTCCCTCTCTCTCTGCCCCTCCCCCGTTCATGCTCTGTCTCTCTCTGTCCCAAAAATAAATAAATAAACGTTGAAAAAAAAAAAAATTAAAAAAAAAAGGAAAACAAGAATCGGGCAAAGCAGAAAGCAAGTAGAAGAAAGGAAGAGGGAAAAAGAATACTTTTCTAGCAACCACCACATACTTTTCTTATTCTCATAACAGACTTTCAAAGAAACCTAAAGAAACTAGGGTTTAGGAGAGGTAAAGTGACTTGCCCACGGCCAAAGAGCCAGTTAAGTGGCAGGGTTAAGGTCCTAATCCAAGGACAGACAATGTGGGGAAAGATAATGAGTTTGAGAGCCAATGGATTTAGATAAAATTTCAGGCTTCCCATCCTTCTGGGTTTTACTTTTCACATATTGAAAAAGAAGACAACCTTTCGGTGTTGTTGTGGGAATCAAATGAGGTCATGTATATAAAAGCACCCAGCACAGGGCCTGGCACTTAGTAAGTGCTCAAGTAATGTAAGCTGCTTTGCCATGTCTGATTTCAAAGTTCAAGCTCTTGATCAAACAAGGCTCTGAACCCTTGGTGAGCTGGTCTGTGCAGGACAGAGCCATGGAAAGAGCTCTGGAGTTAAGGAAGGAGAAGTGAGAGCTAATAAAAGGGAAAATTGCTGTGAACTGTTAGCTTTCTATACAAACACAAGGGACTATTAGTTTTCAGTGATAAGAAGAGTGAAGGGGCACCTGGGTAGCTCAGTTAAGTGTCCAACTCTTGGTTTCAGCTCAGGTCATGATCTCACCGTTTGTGGGATTGAGCCCCACATCGGGCTCTGCACTGACAGCACAGAGCCTGCTTGAGATTCTGGGTCTCCCTCTTTCTCTGCACCCCCGCCCCCAACTCACATGTTATGTGTGCCCTCTCTCTCAAAATAAATAAACTTAAAAAAAAAGAAAACGCTGAGAGTGTTGCTCTCTTCCTGAGAGTTGAAATAGGAGGTGGGCACCTAGGTATACAGAAATAGCCACCTGCAAGGAAACCTCACAGGTTGTCATTCATGTAAAACAACTCACAGATTGAAAAATTAGAACAAGAGCAGTATCTTTATCAAGCATTTCTTAGAGCTTATATTGACAAACTAGAGATTGCAATAAAATGCTAACTGAGAAGATGGCACTGTCCTGCTGATATAATTTGTGTTTACCCTACACAGTGAAAAGGATGGGTGATTCAAAAAGCAAACAGCAGGGGTGCCTGAGTGGCTCAGTCGGTTAAACGGCCGACCTCGGCTCAGGTCATGATCCTGGGGTTCACAATTTGGGAGCCCTGCATTGCGCTGTGTGCTGACAGCTCAGAGCCTGGAGCCTACTTAAGATTCTGTGTCTCCTTCTCTTTCTGCCCCTCCCCTGCTTGCTCTCTCTCAACCTCTCTCAAAAAAATAAACATTAAAAAAAAAAAGGCAAACAGCATATTATCAACATCTGGAAAACAAGATATCCTTAATTTCCAGAGAAGCACGATATAATAATTAAAACTGTTCAATTTCAGCTCACTTAACAATTTTAGACAGGAACGAAATAAAAAAAGAAACAATAACAAAATTTTCATTTTTAAGCTTTGAGCACTACAAAAATGAGCGACAACCTACCCACCATTATAACTTCAATATGAATAATAAAAACAAATGTGAATTCACCTTCACGTCTTCATCCAGTTTCATGATCTTCTTAATACGGGCCAGTGGGAGTTCTTGTACTCGGAAATCTTTCTGAAATGAGTAACAGGAGGCACATAAATGGTGGGGACAATCAACAGGGCATGACAGGCATCTTGAAACACTGTGACTGGTTTAGTCCCTCCTTTCAAAAAACATGGCAGGAGAGGAGCTACAAAGTAAATGAAGAGAATACAAGTTTCAGAGCAAAATTCTTCTTAACCCATGCAGAGCTTCAGACAATTAAAGGTCTCAGGATAAACTTACAATGCCATCTAACAGTGCCCTCATGAAGAGTAGCCCCAAACAAACAATATCAGATTCTGTGCCAGCACAATATTGAGGTGCATCTTGAGTGCCCACCGCCGTCCCCCTAAGCACACCAACCAGTCTGCGATATGTAGATTAAAATGAGACTTTTGCCTCAAGGGCATTCCTTTGAGTTGCTAGTTTTTTCTTCTATTCTGGGACTACAAGGGCAAGGTGCCAGCAGCACCTGACCACTGTGACCCACAGTTGTCTTCAGCCAGCACTGGCTGATATGGGCTACTTCTGACCTTTGCACTAACCTGACACCAGAAATCGGGGAGGAGGGCCTTTCCCATCACAGCAGCAAAGGCCTGGTCTCCGAAGTTTGCTTGGGGGTGGGGTTGGGGGTTGGGGTTCGGGGTTTGGGGTGGGAGTGGAAGAGTATGGAGAAAAATGGGTAAATTTTTCAGCTGCCTTTTAGGAACTGCCCTGGGGCTGGGAGGAAACCACATGACTTTACTAGGGACAGAATTTAGGAAAGGGCTTTCTTACCAGCACTACTCAATTATTTGCGATTTAAGCCCTTTTGATACTACTGGTACTTAAACACATGCCCAGTGATGGATGCAATTCTAGAAATAAAAATCAATTCTGGATTTCAGAGCCGCAGTGAAGAGAAAGGTGCAAAGGGAGAGATTGGCTAAAATCAGCGAAACCGCTACTGGGCCCAGGTGTCAAGTGACTGATTCTATAAGTGCTCTGAAATGTGACTCACCAAACCCAACGTGCTCACCTGGGAATTTGCATCATCACATTATGGAAGGAGCAGCTATTATTTTAGATTTGGTATAATGAACATGCATAAGTGAACTTTCTATTCTAAGACCAAAAGAAACTCTCAACTATATGTCAAAGAAGGCAGTGGGGCATTTCAGAAAAACATCACCAGCCTTCCCAGAATCCATTTTTATGACTACAGAAGGAAGAGTTAGTTTTATTAGGATAAAATGCACACCGAGACACTGGATTTCTCCTCACAAACCCAACGGGCTGCTTGGGACCACTCACCAACTCCGCAAACCTCCAACACCAATTTTTTTACCTTTTCTCTTTCCAACTTAGGTAAAACATTTTCCATGAGGCTTCTACTAAAACTACCTCTGGAGTGGCAGAGCTTTACAAGTTCAAATGATTGGAATTTCACCAGAAAAGGACAGGAGGATACATTCCTTCTATTCTTATTTTTCTCCTCTTTCATTCACGCAACTCGACCAATAGTGAATGTATGATACCTGCTACTATGTAAAAGATGCAAGTCTATTCTTATCTTTGAACAGATTTATAGTTTAATTGTTAAAGACCATCACATAAAAAATATAACCCCCTATGCTATACTAGGATGGGGGTGTAAAATCCCAGTGACAAGAAAGGAAATAGGCAGCTGGTGGAGCAAGGGGAGGGGTTGGAATGAACAAGAGGAGCTGGCAAACGTTCCACAGAAGGGCTGACATCTGAACTGTGTCTAAAGGATGTTACAAAATTTGCTTGTTGGAAAAGTATGAGAATGTTATTCAGTCAGAAGCAAAAGTATGGTGACACAAAAAACATGGCCTATTTAAGTTTTAGATGTATGATCTGAGTACAGAGGGGAGCAGCAGGAAAGGGAATGCTGGATTGGGGCCAGACCCTAAAGGGATTTTAAAAAACGTTTAACCACGGAAATCAATCACTGGTCTTCCTTCTTATGTGGCATATCACACAAAATGATGATGCTAAACAGAAATGCTAAAGAGAATGCTGGGGATAATTCCTTTGGAAGGCCTCCCAGGGTGATACATACAGCACAAGATTATGACCACAAGATTTAACTCTCTTGCAAGTGTGCTCTCATTGGGCTTGGTTATTTAATGTATTTCCACACGACTGTTCTAAAATTTCTTAACCAAAGCCCAAAGCTGAGAAGAAGACCTCCTTCCCCAACTTGAAAGAGAAGAGTATTACTTCTAGAATTTCTATGAGGCTATTCTTCAATCAATAATTCTTCAATCTATTACTTCTAGAATTTCTATGAGACTATTCTTCAAACAAAAACGGGTCCCATCTTGTAGAGATATAAAAGGTGGCAGAAATTTACAAAACAACTCTGCTGTAAGTCTCCCTTCCAAAAAGCCTTTTCTTTTGGGAAACTTTATCGTGATCCCCAGACCTTGAGATCTCAAGGCGCAGTGTGTGAAAAGTGGATCTTCATATGTGTGTGTGTGGTTCATTATTGCTGACAAGAGCCCAGTCTTCTATAATCTCATCCTACCTTTTCAGTCACGTGTAAGGGTTTACAACAAGCTTACTGGAGAGGGGAGCCCTTTCACCAGCAACAGGCTAAGGTCCACTAAATTGCCTTTCAATTCCCTGCTCCCCTTGTCAATGGCAGCCATGCAACTGACGTGAATAGCATTTAACTTCTGATGCTGATCCAAGTGGACAAACAACTGACACATACTGACTTTTCTTTTGTACCCTTGGGAGTGATATCAGCAAGGGGGAAGAACAGATTCACTCTCAGAAAATTCTCATGGTCCTGACCACAACCAAAGAACTACATTAAAAACACTGCCATCTGAAACCGCCGAGTTTCAAGAAGTCTGAATTCACTCAATGAGAATCTGGAGCCAAAGAAAAGTCAACGGGTCTCAGGCTGCACTAAAGAACATCCGGAGTTTCAAATAATGATGAGAAATCTTTTCCAGTCCTACCCAGTCAGGCATTCCAGCAAAGTCCATGTTCTAATCCTCTCCAAAGCACTGATTCTCAGCCTTGGCTGCATGTTAGAAACACCTGGGGAGCTTCTGAAAATCAAGAGGCCTGGGCTCTACCACAGACTAACTAACTGAACAAGGAACTCTAGGGGGCATCAAGTGTTTTGAAAACTCGCCTGATGACTATGACCCACAGTGAGAGTTAAGGACCACTGCTTTAAAAGCCTTGCTACTCAAAGTGAGGTCCTCAGAACAAGCAATGGCATCACCTGGAAACTCAAAAGAAATGCAGAACTTAGATTCCACTCCAAACGTACTAAATCAAAATCTATATACATATATATATATGTGTGTATGTGTATTTATAATATACATACATTATAATATATATATATAATAAATATACACACACATATATAAATATATATACACACATATATTTTATTAACGTTTATTTTTGAGAGAGAGAGTGAGTGAGAGAGAGCGAGAGTGAGCAAGTGATGGAGGCAGGGCAGGGGGTGGGGGCAGAAGATCTGAGGTGAGCCCGGCACTGACAGCACAGAGCCCGATATGGGGTCCGAACCCACAAACCGTGAGATCATGACCCCGAAATGAAGTTGGATGCTCAACCAACTGGGCCACCCAGACACCCCTCAAAATCTGTATTTTAACCAGATCCTCATCTGGTTCATATAGACAATAAACTTTAAAGAGGCGCTGCTCAACAGGAAGGGCTCAAACAGCACAAGACCTGTTTTGTAACAGCCCACCAACCTTCATCTCCAAGTTCTTGTTTAAACGGTTATCTGGCTTGATTGTAATGTTAGAAATGTCACTGTCCAATCTGAAGGCACCAAAAAATAAGATGTAACTGGCAATTAAAAGAAAGTGGCCTATGCATCAAATTACAGCTAACGGAATGGAGGGAATAAGAGGAAGAGATTTTTCAAGATTCAGCATTGCTGCACTTCCCCACCTGCCCCCAAAAATATGAAGTTAGCTTTTTCTTCCCCACTTTCAAAGAGATCTAGAGGGATAAAATTCAATGCCAAGAAGTCTGTTAATTATCGTTCCCAGAGCTCTGTTGAGCAGGAATACGGTACTTTGCACAATCATCCTAGTGTACATCATTTTGGTATGATTTTTAACCAATTTCAATCCCAACTGAACATCACCTGGATTTATGGACAATTACAGAGCCTTTTAAGAGCGAGGAGAACATAATGGCCAAGCTGAGATGAAAGATAAATTGCTTTTGCAAAGCTGAGACCAAAATGATTGGGGCCAGTGTTCCCAATACATCATGAAATAGATCACCTAGCAAATTTCAATTTGTTTTTAGAACAAATTTGTCCCAGTTTTAGAGGGACTCCAACACCTTATGAATATTCGCAAAACCTTTATCTACATTTGGACAGTTTGAACCTATGGATTTTTTAAAAATCTGTTCGAAATTTTGAGATGTCAACCTAAGAGGCTCTGACATATCTGAAGAAGTCTGGTTGTAAGTACTGCTGAGTTCTGAAAAGGCACAGATTAAATACTAAAGTATTTACACAGGCAGAGAGGAAGATGCCTTTATGTGCTGCAGGCAGAGGAGAAAGAAGGGTCCTACCAAAGGAAAGAGCACCCCAACTTTAGTAGACCGCATCCCTACTTGAAGTCGCCACTGATGTTGCCTCACACTCAATCTCAAGTAGGGGAGTCTGATTCACTTAAATATTTATTGTGCACCTATTAAATGCCAACCGCTGCTCTAAGCATCTGATCTAAGCGGTCCCATGGTAGTGGTCCAGGAGTCTTTTTCAAGGGGGAAAAAGCTTTAGCCATCTATAGAAGAATCATTAAAGACAACTGTCCTCCTTGCTGGTCTTTCTCTTCATTCATAATATGTGAACTAAAACTGAATCCCTCAGAGTAACCCACTTTGAACCTCTGGTAGACTAGCTGTCTAGAGAATAAAAGTTGGTCAACACCACCATCTGCTTTTTTGGCAATCAAACTTGCAAATTAAACCAAGGCGAATAAAAACCAAAGCCCAGAGTCTCAAAGAGATATGTGAATACACGTTCATTGCAGCATTATTCACTATAACCAAGAGGTGGAAGCAACGCAAATACCCACTGACAGATGAATGGATAAACAAAACGTGGTACACACATATATACGGAATACTATTCAGCTTTAAAAGGGAAAGAAATCCTGTCATAAGCTACAACATTACACTAAGTGAAATAAGCCAGTCACAAAAAGGACAAATACTGTATGATTCCACTTATGGAAGGTACTCAGAGTGGTCAAATTCAGCAACAGAAAGTAGATGGTGGCTACCAGGGGCTGGGGAGGGGGCAAAGGGTAGTTGTTGTTTCAGGGGTATAGAGTTTCAGCTTTGCAAGATGAAAAAGTCCTGGAGATCTGTTTCACAATAATGTGAATATACTTAACACTACTAAACTATACATTTTAAAATTGTTAAGATGACACGGTTTGTTACATATTCTTTTCCACAATTAAAAAAAAAAAATCAAAACTCAAACTACAGAAAAGTTAAGTGCTGAGCTTGAACCTCCAGAGTTTATCTGGCCACTTGCCTGATCCTGAATTTTTGCTTCCATGCTCAAGCTGGAGTTGTGGCACTGGCCTAATCCCACCACAGCCCAGGAGGGCACTAGCTTTATGCCAGGCTGACTCCTGCACCAACACCTGATAAGCCTGACTGAGATTACCCACTCAAAATATGAGCAAAATACCCTACATTTTACTTTATCATTTCTTTTTCTCCTCTATCTGAGACAGTATAGGTAACCACCACCTTTACACTAAATAAAAGAAACAATGACTTTTCAGTGGAAATTCATCTGTGAATGCAAGCCACTCTGAGAAAGGCCAAGCCAAATTCAGCTGCTGAAATGCCCCATATAAACAAACATGACCTACAGGTACATCAGAACATGAATCTGTTTTTTTTTAAGCCCTGAAGTCAGTGGGGCCTTTACCATAAAGCGAAGTTATTTTATTTTATTCATTCACTACTTGTTTATAGAGTCTCTCTCTCCCACCAGGATGCATGTTCTGTGAGTGCAACGATCTTGTCTGGCCCGCTACTGGATCCACAGTAAGTAGCACAGCCACAGTAGGTATATAATAAATATTTGCTGAGTAAGCAAATAAACTGACCTCCTACGTCTGAGATTTAAAGACCACTAGCTCTAAGAAAGTGCAACATGAGTTCTACATTAGGAAGGAGTCCAGTATCTGTTCTGCTAGGATGCTTAATGCCTTCCGGGCAGGAATGACACATCTAAAACAGAGAGATCCTTCAGTATTTGCTAAAATGACACCAAATGGAACAGTCTTCACTAAGAAAATAACACTACACTCTTGAAATATTTTCATTCTAATGAGTCTCACCTCCTTCTACCACTGTCATACCACTTTACTCCTTCCCTCACCCCTATTACTCGCACAGTAACCTCCAGCCACTCTGAACTTCTTGTTGTTCCTTGAAACAGAAGGCCCTCCCTCCCCTCTGGGCCTCCAGGCCTTTACGAATGCCAATCTCTCTACCTAAGATACTCTCACACCCATCCTTTCCATCTGGTGAATGCTTCTCCTATTTCAAGATCCAAAAAAATGTTCCCTTTACTTAAAGCCTCCCTAACTCAACCAGGGAGGAACAAGCACTATGTCCTCTGTAATCCCGTAGCACTTCGACTTTTACTGCTTTAGACTCATCACTGTGCCTGCCTCAGTAAGTATATTCACTATCATATTCAATAAATATTCACTGAATAAATGACTCTGGTTGTAATTACTAGATTGTAAGCCCCTCAAGGACCAGGGTTATATTTGATTCTTCTAAGTCAGTGGTTCTCAACGGGATGATTTTAGCCCCCAGGAGACACCTGCCAATGTACGGGGACGTTTTTGGTTGTCACAACTGGAGAAGATTGCTACTGGCATCTCATGAGTAGAGAGGTCAGAGATGCTGCTAAACATCCTACGATGCACAGGACAGTCCCCCACAGCAGAAAATGATCCAGCCTAAATGTCAATAAAGCTGCTGTGCAGAAACCCTGATCTAAAGGGTATCTTTTAACACCTAGAAAGAGTGCCTGCTTACAGGTTTGTTGTTGAATAAATTGCCCAACATCATTTATGATTCCAGAAATTTGGCAGGGCCACTGAAACAGGACTAAGAAATGAGCTACAGCTACTGAAGGAAGGTGAGAGCTCTGTTTTTCCACATTCTCCAAAAGATATGCCTCACATTAAGCTATCTCTGCATCAAAGCATCCGCTATACACCCACATGCCTAAGGAAAGCCACTAAGATATAAAAAGAAAACCCTTGTAGTTACCTCACTAAGGTACATTACATCTTCATGTTCCCACCCAAAGGTAAGGAATGAACTATGCCTTTGTAAATGTACTTGAAATTAAAAACGTTTTACTCTCAGTATTGGTTATTCATCTCATAGGTCTTTACACTCTACAAGCTTCTCATTCTTACTTACCACTGTTAAATTCCGGATTTCTTCCATGACACGAGGCCAGAAGGACTGGAGGCTTTGCTGGGCATCACTGCTGCTAGTGCCACCAAATCCTCCTTCTGTGGACATTCTGACAACTGAAAATAAACACATACATAAGATACATTAGAAGTAATAACGGCAGACTTTCTGTTCAGGTTATTTATATCTTTCCTTATGGCTGTTTTCACAAATTCATTCAATTTTTCAATCTGAGAAGGTATATAATTGTGAAGAGGCTCTTGACACAAACTTAAATGTCAGCAAAAACATATGGAAAAAATTTTCCCTTCTATCCAACCTATACCACAGACACTAACAAGGAGCTCTAACTAGAAAACCTAAAATTACTAGAAATCCAAACTGAAATCTTAATGTGAATCAGGCCTTTAAATGTCTTGTCTTAGGAGGGGGCAAAAAGGGTACTTGGTTGGTGCTCTAGTCTGGTCCATAATTTTCAATGCCATTCCCTTGAATGTTTTTTCAAGTTCAACATGGTTTTCACATTCCATGTCACAGCCTGCAGCAGACATACTGAGGGTCCCAGTGACTAACACTGTATAGAAATGTAAACCCAAGTCTTAAAAGTAAGAGCCCATTTTATTCCTTTGTTTCAGACACCGTGGCCCCATTTCTTTGAGGCTACTGATGATTATTATTCCTTCTACTCTCCAGCTGATCTCCCTCCAAGGGCACAGAAGCACTGAAGCCTTGGCCAATAACTGAGTGGGTGGCACCAAGTCTCCAAACTGGAACCACTTCCCAGTTCTTTCCTTACCTGAAGCCTTCTGTTAGGAACAAAGCCAAACAAAGCACACTGTCAACTGGAAGCTTTAAAGGTGGTTGAAAAATAACAGGGAATTAAATTTAGGATGAAGAAAAGAGGGTCAAAACCTGCATGCAGTCAACTGCTTTTGTGATGGGGGAGGGAAGATGAATAAGAACCCCCATATCAGTTAGAACAGTAGATGATACTATAAAGTCTTAAAAGATTTACGGTGGGAAAGTAAAAAACTCCAGATGGCATAAATGCTTATCTGGCAAATACTTAAATGCAAGAAACAGTTTAATTAAATACAAAGAACAAGAAACTTAGTGATGTCCTTAGTGATTCTGGGAAATTATTTAAAAAGGTTTAACATGCCAGTGACAGGATGCTGGCAGAGAGCTATGTAAATCATTAAGAACTAATTCTGAAGGGCTGAAAGAAAAGCACCAAAGCCAAGCATCACGTGACCAAACGTGTTCCTTTCCAGACCCTGTGTGGACGCACACTGGGCAGATCACTCTCCGTCAGCCGAGTGGAATGAGGGCTGATAAATCATCGGTTTAGACTGTGAGGGTGTTTTGATTCCCTCTTAAATATTTGCCGGGACTGTCCTAGAGGTCTCTCTCTCTTTTTTTTTTTTTTTTTTTTTTT